TAAAAAATATCATAAGGAAAATGATAGATGAAATTGGCACGAATGTCTAAACAAGGCCTTATGGGCTTATAGGACGTCGCCTCGGTCAAATACCAAAGTTACTTATTTCCAACTTACTTATGGACAAGAGGCCGTTTTGCCTATGGAAATCAACGTGCAATCAATTAGAGTGTGTTTGCAACATAAGTTAAATAATGGTGAATATGCTGAGTCACTAGTTCTAAACTTATTGCAGTTGGACGAATTAAAATTGAATGTCCTAAATAGATTGCAAGTTCAAAAACAAAGAATGGCTAAGTTTTACAATAAAAAAATTATAGCCAAGTCTTTTAGTTTGGGCAAATTGGTTTGGAAAACAATAATCCATTTGGATAGTAAGGATCCAAAGTATGGCAAGTAGTGGCCCAATTGGGAAGGGTCATATAAAGTAAATAATGTGTTGCCCAATGGAGCCTATCATTTAGAAGATTTAAATGGCACTAAGCACATGAGGTTCATTAATGGCAAATATTTAAAAATGTATGTTCCTTCCTTACGGGAAAGTGAACAAATAAAAGCGTAATCAATATAATTGCGTTGAACGATCGTAGATAAATAAGGCAATAAAGAAATGCATTCAAATAAATTCCTTTATTATCAAATATTCATTACAAATTGTGAGATACAAAGTACTAAATGCTCTATAAGCCACAATTGAGAGCAGATTAGTTCTTCGGTCGATCTCCAAGTAAGATGGTGAACTGGCTTTGATCGCCTTCCTGATCGCACAGGTGGAGCGTATTAGTTGTCTAAGCTTCTCCCATTCTCCGTTTTGCTCATCAGAAGCAGTGGATAGTTCAACCATCATCCCATCGTCAACTTCCAGCTTGGAGTAACGCTCGAGCAAGGACTTACTTCGCTCAACCTTTTGAGCAGCCTTACGCCTTTTAGTAGTCAATATGGCCATACAGTCATCCATCCTTGCTTGAAGCGCCTTCATCTCTGCAACCAGATTCACCATCATCGAGTCTTCAACCATAACTTCAGTAGAAATCTCACGTAAATTGCTCTTTGTCTTCTCGATTTCTTCAAACAAAGACTCATTTTCAGCTACAACACGAATATACTGAGTCTTCTTGGCCTTTCAATTCTATGTTTTTTACCAGCAAAGAATTTATCTCTGAATAGATGATCTTCAACGTTAGCCTAATATTAGATGAGACTTTAAGCGAAGGGAGCTCAAGTGCTTTAGCCATTTTCTCACTTAGAAAATCAAATTTTTCTTTCTGTTTGGAAACACTGGCCTTGTTGATATTCAGATCCATAAAAGAAACATATTCAAGCACAGACTGCTTGAGTATATTCATGTTTTCCTCTGAGAAGGGTGTAGATGAAACAAAAGGATGACTGGCCGACAAAGAGCGAGAAGCAATGCTTTCTTTTATTTGTTCCCAAGAGGTAAACACATCTTGAATTGAGCGTAAAACGACATTAGTAGTCTGCAAGAGAAATGCAAATTGAGCATCTTCACGACAGTGAACAAAGTAAAGATGAGAGATAAAACAAAAGTTACATCATCACTAGCTTTTGGAAATTGGGGCACCTCACTAGCAGATGCAGCCACTTGTGGAGACTTCCCTTTGTCCGAATGAGTAGGTTCTGCCACAATAGGCACATCCATGAGAATCTCTGCAGAATTCAAAAGGCAACGGATCAAGGGCTAAATGATACAATTAGGGGTAAAGGCAGAAAAATATGTGTTACCTTCTGATTCAACACTAGGGGGGTCGATGCCCTGAGAAAGTGGTAACTCTCCAGCTAGTTGTGGTGAAGATTCTGGGTTTATGCACTTCTCTTTAGGCAAAATCCCCGCATCAGATGACTTGGATGAAGCAGTTTTAGTTGGAAGTGATGAAACAGGGGCTGCCACGACTAGAGCCTTCGAAGGAGAAGTCGAACTCTTCCGAGGAAATTCAAGTAAACATAACCCATAAAGGGTCATTTTACAAATAAACGAACTTGAATACCTTTCTCCTGACAATGAGAGGAGCATCATCATATCATCATCATCAACAGACAAGACTGGTGAAGATAAGGCTGGCCGCTTACAATTGGAAGTACCCTTGGCTGCACTAGCACGAGCAGAAGGGGAAACGGATGGAAAGGCAGGAGGTTTAGTGCGAATAGGTAAAGAGGGACCCTTGATTGATACAGGAGGAGCGAAGTAAGACTCAGTAAGTTTTTTATCGAACTTTGGGGCAGTACTAGTAACCAAAATACCAGGACAAATGGTATTGCCCAGATGTGGAAGATTTACAAGGGCTCCAACATCCCTCAAGGTGATGGACATTGGGCCAAGGAGAAAAACAAAAGTATTATATTCTGAAGACCAAAAACTTAATGCAGTCGGAAAAAGCACCGGGTCATAGATTATAGGATGGAGTGCAATTTCTAGCAAGTCTGAAATCCCAACACGATCAAAAATCGCTTTGGTGGGGCCATGTTTTACTAAACGTGCATGCCAAAAATGAAAAGTAGAATCAGATTTAGACCAAGTACGAATACCTCGTTCCCAGATCGGCTTTAAGGGAAACAGATTCAGAAAAGGAGGATCTTGAGTACAAGGAAATAACTGACCCACCGCCATTTTTCCTATAGATTCAATGTCTTTAAACGATGGACCCGGGTAGAATTCATTGAGGTCTGGGTTAGCTAATGAGAGAAAAGTCGAGTTTACATATGGCCTAACAAGGAGGGTTTGGAAATCTTCGAAACTAAGGCTGTTATCAGAAGAGGTTTGTGGAGTCGCCATTTGCAACAAAATATACTCTTAGTAAAGGTTCTTGAAAGGCGTAGTGGAGAAGCAAGAGGATGAGCAGTAACTTTTGTAAACGCATGATGTGAAGACGTGAAAGTAATGGCGCGATAAAGTGGCGTATCTTTTGGGTTTATGGGGATTTGTAACGTTGCACCTTTTTCAGATTATAGAAGGGTTACAATCAAACGGAAATAATGATTGAAATTCTTGAGAATTTCAAATATTGCCGAAAAATACAAAAAAAAAATATGACAAAGATTAATAATTAGTATTAATTCTGCCATATTGGGGAATAATTGTTGACATACAAAAAGTGTAGCCCAAATCGAGTAGCCCAAGGGATAAGATCTAGTTAGGAAGTCCAGGATGAAAGTCCAGATATGATCATTAATGAATGCAGTGGAGGCCCACGAATAAGGTACCGTCATCACCCAAGTTTGCAAGACACTTAAGATCTGAGCGAGTGGAGTGCCTTAAGATAGCCCAAAGCAAACGAGCCTATTCTCGCCCAAACCTTCGAATCACCCAGATCTTAGCAAACATGAGGGAATATGGTTATCCAGAGCAGCAGTTATTGAAGCGGTTATTGAGCAACCTTATCACACCCCCACGATCTAAGAATCACATTTGTAGGCGGTTGAACGACGAAAGTAATGGCAACAGTTAGAGACGGCAGTTCCACGACAAATCAGCCATCATGAAGAAAGTGTGTAGTTATATAGCAAACGAGCAGTTTTCAAGCAGTTTGTCATGAAAAAAATTCTCAATGAAGTATAAAAAGAAAAGAAGACATAGAGAACGAGACCTCGAATCAAACACTCTCAAACAGAGAATATGTAATTTCAATTTCTTAGATTAACTTTAATTATCCATTTTCAGTACTCGTGTGCTTACGCCCCTTGGAGGCATTCTGTTTATTTCAAATTGTAACTTTCATCAATAAAGCATCCTTTTTGGGACTTTGTCTCAAGAAGTTTGTCCCTTACACAATCGTCTGATCCCCTTTTTAATTGTTAGGGACAATCCGCGCGAAACACAAACAAAAACATGAATGAATTTACCTTTAATACCACGTTAATCTGCAGATCATTCGACGAGGAAGAAAGGAGCATGAAAAGACGATTTTGTAGGGTTTTTTTTGTTCGAGAATGGAGATAATTGTTCGAGAATGGAGATAAATGAAAATGATTAAAATATTTGCATATGCAGTGAAGGTAGAAAGAAAATAATTGGGCCTCTGAATGGTGCAATCCACATGTCATTTAATGAACAGTAAAATTGTACAATTACAGACAACACTCAATTATGCGGGCCCACAATTGGAAAAAATTTAAAGCAAATACACGTCTTCCGTTACTTTTCCTCCAATGCAAACTGGTTAAGCATCAAAATAGAAGAAAACTTCAAACTGGTCTAGTGTGAACAAGAGCGGACAAAAATGAACAGTAAAAATGGGAAACGTTCTTTTAAGGTAAAGGGGATTAATCTGCAAATCATTCGACGAGGAAGAAAAGAGCACGAAAAGACGATTTTATAGGTTTTTTTGTTCGAGAATAGCGATAATTGTTCGAGAATGAAGATAAATGAAAATGATTAAAATATTTGCATATGCAGTGAAAGTAGAAAGAAAATAATTGGGCATCTGGATAGTGCAATCCACATGTCATTAATGAACAGTAAAATTTCACAATTACAGACAACACTCAATAATGCGGGCCCACAATTGGGAAAAAAAATATTAAAGCAAATACACGTCTTCTGTTACTTTTCCTCCAATGCAAACCGATTAAGCATCAAAATAGAAGAAAATTTCAAATTGGTCTAGTGTGAAACAGTTAAAAGGGGAAACACTATTGCATCTACAGTAGCTCCTCGTTGCCTTTTTGGGTATATATATTTATATATATGAAAAGGTTAGATAAAAAGTAATATTAGTTTATAAATTATTAATAAACATAAGCCGCACAAACATGAAAAAGCTTACATAAAAAAAGTTGGGGCTTTCGTTCAAGAGGCTTAGACAAAGCAAAAATTTAGGGGGATTTCCCTCGAACAATCTAAGGCTGAAGAATACTCAACATTTTTCTTCTTCAAATTTGTTTGTTTACGGACGTCGGAAGCGTAGGATTGGCCGCCAGATAGCTTTCGCCACCGTCGAAGAAAGTGGCGCCGTCGCTCGAAAAATATCGAAGCTTAGCTAACAATGGCGGAATCAAGCTTGTCATCAATCGATCCCAGAAGCGGCTACTGCCCAGAAACCAAAACATTTCACAGCCTCCAACCCTTGGTCCCTCTTCCTCAGGAAACTGTCCCTCTCACCGTAGCTTCATATGCTCTTTCTCTCCAATCCGCTTCACCATGGCGCGATGCCGCCGCACTTATTGACGTCTCCACCGGACACCGTATTTCCTATGCTGAATTTCACCTTCTCACCAGAAACTTAGCTTCGTCTCTACGTACAAATACCGGCCTCCGTAAAAATGACGTCGCCTTTGTCCTCTCGCCGAATTCAATCCGCATTCCAGTACTCTATTTTGCCCTTCTCTCTCTGGGAGTTATCGTTTCTCCTGCCAATTCACTCAGCACTTCGGAAGAAATCTCCCGCCTAATCAGTATCTCGAGACCGGTCATCGCGTTTGCCATATCAGCAACCGCCGATAAACTTCCCAAGCTCGAGTACCCAACAATTCTCATCGATTCTCCTGAATTCGAATCTGCAATGAATATGAAGAGTTCGGATTTTGAATTCAGTAAGAGGGACGTTGAGGTCAACCAAAACGACGTTGCTGCAATACTGTATTCGTCTGGGACGACAGGGAAAGTGAAAGGCGTGCTATTGACTCACAGGAATTTCATCGCAGTTATTGCCAATTATCATCACTGGCAGGTGCAGCAGCAGCAGGGGAGGTTGTTTCCGCTGGTGATGCTGTACACCATACCATATTTTCATATATTCGGGTTTTTCTTCAGCTTGAAATCCGTGGCATATAATGAAACTGCAGTGGTTTTGGGGAGGTTCGAGTTGAGGAAGATGTTAAGGGCTGTGCAGGATTATAAAGTGACTCATGTTGTATTGGCGCCGCCGATTGTGGTGGCGATGTTGAAGGCTACTGAACCGAAGGACTATGATTTGAGATCCTTGGGGTGGGTTGGATGTGGCGGAGCCGCACTTGGGAAAGATTCCATCAAATCTTTCACCAAGAAATTTCCCACAGTGATTCTCTCTCAGGTTTGTTTTTTAATCTCTTAGAATTGCTTCTTTATTCACTCATTTAATAGCTAAATGGTTACTTGTTTTTTCTCTTTGAGTTTTGATGCCAAAATTTGTAAATAAAGAACTAACTAAACTAAATTGCAAAGGGTTATGGATTGACTGAAACAACTGGCGTGGGATCTCGAGCAATGACTCCTGAAGAAAGTCAGTGTTGGGGTTCTGTGGGGAGGCTCGTTGGAAGTTCCGAAGCAAAAATTGTTGATCCGGAAACTGGCATTGCTCTGCCTCCTGGCGAGCAAGGCGAGCTTTGGATTAGAGGACCAACAATAATGAAAGGTACTAATAAATTGTATGAATTGAAAATTAATGCTAAATTTGTGTTTGTTTACCTTAATATAACCAAATTTTCATATTCGATAGAAGGGATTTCTAGTGTGTGCACCCTCTCTGACAGCTTGAGCTTTTATGAGTTGGTTTGATACAATACAAAAACAGGCACAATTCGTGATTCCAAGTCCTATAGCTATCCATTTATGATTAAAAAAATAATAATGAGTCTGGCCTGGGTGTGTCGCAGATAAATAGAAAATTGTCTCCTTTCTAGCACCTTAAGTGATTCAACCATTCGTCATAAAGCAAGATTCTGGTTTTTAGCAGTTCCTTTCTTAATTTACATTGAGGTCAAGGCTAGAGCAGTAGCCGTTCCTCCATTCCTTCCTTCTCGGTTATTGTTGTCGATTTTTATATGCAAGTATAAGGATCGTAACAAGTAATATAATGGACCAATAAGTTCGGATATTGTTCCTACGAGGACTATTATCTAACAATTGGTAAAATTATTCCAACTTTAATTTGATCAAAATCAAATAATAAGATTTGTGATTGGTGTCTAAATTATTTTAACTAAATTAAATTAATCTAATGTGCATAATTCATTGAATTTGGGTTTTAAAAATATGAATGTGGATACTAGGACTTACAATTTTACCTATGGATCCCTTTTAATTCTCCAATCAATGTTCATTACTATTGTAATCTTCGATCGAATTCTTCTAAAATATTCAATTTACCCCTCTTGAGTTCTAATTGAGTCTATTTAACTAAGGGTCCGTTTAATTGCAAAGGTGGAAAATGGGTGGAAAGAAAATGAATTTCAGAGAAAATAATTGTCTAGAACTTGTTTTTCGGAGAATTGTTAATTAAGTGTGTTTGATTTGTATAATTTTTCACCCGGAAAATTTNTTTTTCATCAAAGTTTAGTGTTTGTTTGGTTTTGTTTTACATGGAAATTGTCCATTAAAATGAATTTTTTTTTTTTTTTTTACAATTGGTTATAAATTTTGTTTCAATTGCCCAAAAAAATTAGTAAATGCTTGAATTCTATTTCCCACCAAAATGGTGGGAAACCAAATTCATCAAAAAGGTAGAAAAGGTGACATGTGGGGATAAAGTGGAAAAGTAATTGCAAAGAAAATTATGACTATCAAACCAACCAATTGGTGGGAAATGGAATTTCAATTCCGAGTTCCATGGAAAAGTTTCATTATCAAACAGGGCCTAATTCAATTTCATATTTCTATGTGAATCAATTTTAGTTCAATAAAATATTTGTTTTAAGAATTCATCTAATGACCGCAATAATTAGTATAGGTATCTCTATACGTTATTTGAATTACCGGATTTTAATATGTAGTCTAAAACTAAAACTCACCTCTCGATTCGTAATAGATTCATAAAATCATTGAATAATTAGCCAAAGAATTTAATGCATTAAATTCATGAATAAAATCAACACATGCATTTAAAGAACTAGATCTTGAATAAAATAATAAAGGGTCTCACATAGATTACATTGTTTGCTATAGCTATAAATTTAGCACTTATAATAATGAAAGAAAAATAAAGAGTATAGAGTTTATAACCTGGTTTTGAAATCTTGATCATGTAAAGAATTGGATCTTGCACCAAAAATCTTCTTCAACCTCAAAAGTCTTCAAATCATAGCTTTGGTTCTTTGCTCTAGATGATTATGTGTTTTTCTCCCCCAAATTGTGTTGAACTCCTCAAAAATGTCAAAAACTTATATTTATACTACTCCCCACATTTGTGTCGAGTGTAGGATTTTTATGGGCTTCAAAATGGGTCAAAAACGCGCCCTAGATACACCCATGCTACATGGCACCTAGGGGCCGCGAAGATAGCGTAGTGGCGCCTCGGCTCCATGACCTCTTAGGAAAATTTCAGCAGTGCACCTCCTGTAGTATTTTTATCATAACTTTCTCTCCCGATATCCGATTGAGACGATTCAAATTGGGTTTTAAAGATAACTCAAAGGGTTACAATTTTACTAAAAATAACTTTTTTCCAATTCAAACGTTTACTGGGCCAAAAATGATTCTCAATCTCCGGTTGAAAATCTGGAACATGCTTGTGCGGTTGAAAATTGATTTTTGAAAATATTTTGGTCATATTTCACTCCTTTTGACTTCTAATTGCATTCAATTGACCTGTAGCTTCATTGTGAGCTTTGACACAACTTTTAAGTATTTACACTTTAATCTCCAAATTTTAGATCTTGGCCTTTTTTCTCCAATGTTTGCTTCTTTCTTTCAATTCCACTTACTTTTATCAAATTTTACCTAATAAACGAAATATACAATAAATTATGCTATAATTATTCTAAAAAACTATTAAATGTCTATTTTTAAATCCAATCAGTGATATTGGCTTGGGTGGCTGGGGTAGATTGGCTTGGTTGATCTTGCTTTATGAGGGTTAGTTCAATGTGCTCCAAGAACTTCGTGATGTTTTTGTAGGTTATTTGGGCGACTCCGAGGCAACTTCTGAAACCTTGGTTTACGATGGCTGGTTGAGAACCGGCGATGTTTGTTATATCAACGATGAAGGTTTCGTTTTTGTTGTAGATAGGCTGAAGGAGTTAATCAAATACAAAGGATACCAGGTTAGCATCACTAGTGGTCTCCTCTGTACAAGGTTTTACATTAAGTGTGACCATGATATATTTTCACTTCCAAATTAGCATGTTTGCCTAAGCGTAGAAGATACTTTTCTGTAACTTGCTTTAGGTTGTCTAAACATTACTTTTGTTTGATAGTAACTAGTAAGTTTACCTATGTTATCTGTTTAGGTTGCCCCTGCTGAGCTAGAACAGCTGCTTCTGTCACACCCAGATATTGTAGATGCTGCTGTAATACCGTAAGCTTCATTTCTGAAAATTTGATTGCGTGTACTGCATAGAACTAGACAGATGAACAAGATTTTAAATGGTTTTTCTTCTTTAATACAGTGGGTGCTATCTAATCAGAGTACAAAATTCTTGAATACGATTATGCTTAATTGATAAACTGTTTTGTCTTTACTCTTGAGAACTAGTTTTCAGGCAGATTATCATTTACAGCCTTAGCCTATGTTTGGCTCTTGTTTATAAACTATTAAGTCACTTTTTATCCCCACATTTTGAGGACCTGCAAGTACTATGCACCTATCCACCACTCATTTTTATCTAATTTCTATATAAACCTTTTGTATACACTTCCCAAACATGCTATTAATTTCTGCTTTTCCATCAAGGGCTTGAGAATCAAGCAGTAACACATCCGCAAAAATGCAGAATTGGAATTTATTAGAGTCATGTTATTTATCCCTGGGGATGATCCCCAAGTGATGTGGTAGGTGATGAGACATGAAATGATAAGACCAATAAATTGGGTATCATATTCACACATTTCATTGGCCTTATCATTTCATGCATCATCTGCCACATCACTTTAGGAATCATCCCCGGTGGAGATAAATATCATTATTCTTTATTATAATACTTGGATATTCATCCATTTAATTGGCCTTATCATTTCATGTCTCATCACTTATCACATTGCAAGGGATCAACTGTGGGATAAATAGCATTATTCTTTATTGTTCTGATCATTTCAAGCCTTATCACTTGCCTCGTCACATGGGATCGTCTCCAGTGAGCATAACTAGCATTATTCTTTATTATAATCTTGATCAACATTCCTAAGTTCTACATCTGTATATTTCACAGCTACCCGGATGAAGAAGCTGGTCAAGTACCGTTGGCATGTGTCGTTCGACGTCCCCAAAGCAGCCTTGACGAAGCACAAGTTTTTGATTTTATCTCAAAGAAGGTATGTTTCTCAAAATTTTGAGCAATTTGGTTGTTAGACTTGTATGAAAGCTTTCTGTTTCCATAAAACTATCATCTACTAACAATGCTTATAAACATTTTGTTATCCTTTGATATTCTATTTCTCCAGTTATTTTTTCTTGAAAGTACAAAAATTTCACAATTTCTTTGATTAAATCGCTCAAAAAATCTGGGCCTGAATATTTTTTTCAGGTTGCTCCGTACAAAAAAGTACGACGAGTTGTATTTATTATCTCGATACCTAAGAGCCCAGCTGGGAAAATATTGAGAAAGGAATTAAGAAAGACTTTGCTGCCAGAGTCTAAGCTGTGATAGGATAATGTTCTTTTCAACCTCAGCTGTGCATGATTACAACGGGGTACAGCACAATTCTCCTGTGATTTAAATACGAAGTGTTCATTGGAGATTGAAGAATCTGCACCAGCAGATTATGAACTAGATATGATGCATACTGAGGAGTGAGGATTCGGCTTTGGAAATCCACGTCTAAATTGTTAAATAATTTCTTGGAAGGATCTTCCAAATGTGTATAAATTAATCAAAAGTATTGTGTGAAATCTTCGGTCTCTTTCAAATAAGCCCTTAAAGGATGTAAAAATTCGCAGCATTCAACATGAATTTCGGGTCAAGAAACTTACTTGAAATGATGAATTCCAAGAACTTTTCATGGTTGAATCACTTTGCATTCCAAAGCTTCAAAATCTACATTTCCTTGCTCTCCAATGGTCGCAATCTCAATCACAATGGAAGGGGATTATTATCCACAATCTAAGTGTTAAATTTTGTAAGATTTCGTGTCAAAAATATGGTTCTAAGGACTTTCCAATTTAGGTGTAAAATTCCATACGAATTTTCACTCCATTTTATATGTCCTCTTTCTCCCTCTATTTTCCAATGCATAAATGAATGGAAGTTGTATGGGAGTTGATGGTGATTGTAGGGAGTTACATATTTGAACTTAAAATTCAAACCATTCCCTCTAACCCTTTTAATAACTTGTGGCTCGGGTCATCCCACATGGGCGTCCCAAGACCCATATTTTCTAACATNCGACCCGTATTTTCTAGTATCTCTCACTCGCACATGATGGGTTTGATCCGAACCACAAGGGACAACGAATGTCATACATTAGATCTTTCTCAAAATCTATCTTACAAAACTTCATATGACAAATAGATCGTGCGACCAGCGAATAATATTAGAGCTCACAGTACTATAAATCTGTTAGGGATATATAGTAACTCTACTAGAGGAACGTTACATCTCGCTATACCCCAAACTCATTTTCCAATATTAATTCAAGTATTTCTGATCCCTCGAATATTTATGGAACATACTTGAACCTCACGCCATTTCATTGTATTCACAATTATGTTTTATACCCTAAATGGTTAATGTTTAACAAAATAGTTTTCCTTTCCTACTTGAATCCTTCAACTTTAAATCAACTGCTTTCCTAGACATGTCCCATCAAACCGAATCAATCATAGTTATTGGTAACATACTAAAGTAGCAACACCGAAATAAAATCTCAAGAAACAGTCAAAAGTCATAATGGCATATATGAGGTTATATGAACCTCAAGGTCTCACACAATGAGGAAACGAGGATCCATTCACTCATTTACCCGATATTGATCGTAAAAACACACGTGATATGAAACACACGCTACGATATTTTCTCTCATTCTTAGGGCGTATGTCATATCATTTACAAACAAATAACACCGTACAGATCCGAACTCAGGTATTTCCCGATACCTAACTTGAGTTCTCCTTATGTTCATTCCTCTAGGCAATCTCAAATCGAGAACTCGATCTGGCTATTAAACAGGTTTAATGAATAACAAAATCAATTTCGATTACTTGTTGTAATCTCATCTTGATATCTTATCAAGGCGACAAGATCATGTACACAACATGATCACTTTATCTCATCTCAGCACACCCCAAAGTATATGAGGCAATTGTTCGTGTGAGTGAACCAATCTCAACATGCTTGACATACTTTATATGTGCATGCAAAATATTATCTCGTAATCTCAACAATAGATTACACATGAACTCAAAATTGTTCATCTATGGGCACATAAAAATCAATCAAGAGTTTTATAATACACTAAGTATCATATTCTACGTAATTTTAGATATTCGACATTACCGACAAGTACATCTCTAAACATCTTTAGAGTATGATGATTACATACCATCATTTACGTAGATATATTGCAAAGACACTTTATTTGCTAATGTCTCTCACAGAAACACTATCAAGTTGGTTCCATCATTATACTTGAGATCCTCATCACATGAGATAATTGCATAACTATCATAGATCTCATATTCACAACTAGTATCATTAGATGCTCCATACATCTATACCAAACAATTTCTTCAGTTGTCAAGTTATATACTACAAGATATGCTTCTTGCTATTCTATGTAGTAAGATTGCTCAAGTATAATAACTATTTGTGCTTGACTAACTCTCATCCTTAGTCGATATTTGAATATATATTTCAATCACAAGTCATTCATTTTACAACAAATAGAATAGCTAACAGAAACACTCTTCGGGTATCACAATATCCTTTCTAAGGACAACATCAATACCTTCTGACTAGATCCATGACATGACAAATATTAGGGAAAATATACATTATAGCATACTTGTAACTTGTAATCGTACTACATATGGTTCTTTGGATATTTCTTTGTGCACTTATGGAGTCTTTGAACATACATGAAGACTCATATAGTCACCTTTTGACATAGAAACATCAATAAGGTAGCAAATTCCACAGTTAAAAAATATTCTAGAATTTTTATGGTATATAACTCTTGTGACAGAGAAACAAAACTAGAATAATTTTTTTAACACAAAATATACAATTTGCTAAACTCATGTCATTTGTCTCAAACACTAAGGACAACCATTTCAAAATGGTCTCAATACACTCCTTTTCATGCTTATCCAATATAGTGTCATCAAGACATCAACATCAAAATCAAAATTAGAATTACATCCTGTCATCAGACTTTTACATAAATGCAGTAAACTTCATCCACGTAATGAAATTTTGTACGAGATTTAAACCCTCTTAAAACTCAGGTACAAGTGTTAAGATGATTGTATTAGGCTACAAATATAACTATAGAGTTACCACAATACTATAAAAGCCTTCAACATGAAATCTACAAATCGATTCATGTAGATTTCTTCAATCAATTCTCAATTGAGAATGAAAATACATTCTATAAGTCTATTTGGTGAAATCTACAATTAAACACATTATCATGGCTAGCATCAGCGTATAGAAGTGAATCTCACTGCTAAGAAAAAGGCTTATCAAACTCAATATACTCATATTGAGTATAACATTTCCCTAAAAAATGAGATTTATCTATCTTAAACTCATTAGTCTTCTACTAAGTTTTTTAAAAAACCCGTATGTTCTCAATAAACATAATGTCCAACTAGAACTTCCACCACATCTCAAATTAGATTGGAATTATGTACTCCATATATACTTCGATCACTTTCCTCAAATTTTTCCACTGATTTTCTAAACCATGAATCGTTGAAATTGAATAGCTCTTAGATCCCACTTGAAACCAAGATCCATTGAAATTGGATAGTTCTTTGATAGCTTTCACTCTGATAGATAGCTTCCACTCGAAAACGGATTACTCCCACTTGAATCAGAATTTTAAACTAACTCTTACGTATGCAAAAAAACTGATTTATCAATACACATAATATCAATTTCAATAATATTCTCCAAACTTTTTTTCTTTATTAAAAAAAATGTCACATCCTATGACCCGATATCCATCCATCCAAAATCTCACTTAAGTATCTTTTTGGACTATTTATGTGTATCTCAGAAATATATCTCGTTCTTAATTGACTCATGTTCCGAAACTCATTATCAAGAACTTACATAATCAATTATGAGTCTAAGACAACCCATATTTGGTTGTCCTTATGTCCAAAGCCTATACAATTCTGAATGTATTAATCTAGAGAGGACTTCATTATCTGATACATTGTAGTTAACCAACACTCTTTCCAAAAGCAAATACTTAAATTGGACTACATATCTTAAACATCATCATATTCAATAATATTACATCCTTCTACCTAATACATCATATAATTATTGGTGATTAAGGAATAGTCAATCAAATAAGAATCTATTTCATTACATAGATCACTGATATCTCGCGATAGAGATTCACGCTATTAAATAGTTCTCAAAGTTTTCACTTCCATAATCTGATTTTCTACTCCACTTCAGAGAAGTCTAAATCAATACAATATTTTCAATTTAAGAAAATCAGAGGCACAACTGAGATGCGTGATCCCTCTATAAATGTAATGAAAATATAAAAATCAGTCCCTATCTCTCAAAAAATTCGAATGGATTTACTCAATGGAAGTTAAACTCTTACAACTCAATGATATTTGCCAGGGATTCGGCCTCTACCTACTTTGTGAAGCAATTGCCAGGGGTTCAGCTCCTACCCACTTTGTGAAGCAATCAATTGCCACAATGGAAAAACTAGCATTCCCTCTACCTATAGGTAAAGGGCGATGAGGTCCACCCCCATTTGCTGAAAGGCCAGGGGCTGGATACTAGAGTTAACTCTTGGGAGGGTTGCCTTTGGACATGGGAAAAACGTTGACATTTATCACATTTTCGAGCAAATTGGAGAGCATCTTTTTTCATAGCAGGCCAATAGTACCCTTGTCTCAATACTTTCTTCGCCAAGGAAAGCCCTCTCGAGTGATTGCCACAAACACATTCATGGACTTCTCGGAGTACATAGTTGGCTTCCTCTCCTCCAATACATCGGAGAAGAGGCTAAGAGAATCCACGTTTATAAAGAATATTGTCGACCAGTATAAAATGAGCAGATTTCCTTCTTAGCTTGTAGGCCTCTTCTTTGTTTTCTGGCAAAATTTGATCCTTGAGGTAGGCTTTAAGCGATTGCATCCAAGTTGGGGTTCCCTCCACCCACATCACCACCTCTGTCGAGGTGGATGGCTTCAGGAGGTGCTCGATTGGGACTACTGTCAACAAGTCAGAATCCTTGCTTCTGGCAAGCTTGGATAAAGCATCAGCGTGTACATTATCGAGGCGTGGGATCTTGTTTAATTCAAATTTCTCAAAGGAATGGAGTAAACTTATTACCAATATGAGGTAGGAGGCCATGGCCTTATTGGTAGGATCCGTTGGGTCGATGGGGAAACTTTCGAGTTCCTCCATTGGAGCTTCCTGGGAGTCGGTCTCGATTACTCGTGGGTCGAGTTCATCAAGCGCTGGCATCTCAGGGTCAGTAGCACCGATCACCATGTTCATGTCCTTGGGCTCAACTTTTCTTACAAAGTTAAAGTAGCATTCCCGAGCCCCTCTTTGATCTCCTCTCACCGTTGCCACTCCTTGATCAGTTAGAAATTTCATGCACAGGTGATGAATGGAGGTGACAGCTCCTAGATCCTTTAATGCGGGCCACCCCAACACCCTGTGGTAGGCAGAACTACTATCAACTACCAAGAATTCCATGAAATTCAATGTTGATAGAGGGGGTTCTCTCATTTCCACGGTGAGGGTAATCTTACCCCTCGGGATAATGCTATCCCCGGTGAAGCCATATAAAGGAGTATCGGTGGGGGTCAGCTCATGATCCAATATCATTTTGTCAAAAGTGGATCCGAAAAATATGTTCACTAAACTACCATTATCTACCAACATTCGTTTCAGTCCGTTCCTAGCTATCACAGCCCCCTCGCCACTAGGGCATCACAATGGGGATAATGAACACCTTCGGAGTCTTCATGTGCGAACACAATAGGAGGTGATTGGTTCCTTCAAGAACTGTTTCCCACAATGTAGCTAGTCAGCGGAGGATCCTTTGCTTCTCGGGCGTAATTTCTTTGTGAATTTCTTGTTCTCCACCGACATTGGGGCCCCCAAAGATTGTGTCAATCTCATGAATTGGGGCACTTTTCGGTCGGTTTCGATGGCTTCTTTGTTGATGTTCATCTGGGTTCATGTGCCTTCATGCTCTCTCCTGCGAGGGGATACTTCCCGATGGCGGAAAGTGGCCTCTTCTCGCCTAGACTGTGAATCACGCCTTGGAGGGGGCCTACTCCTCGGTCTAGAGGTGTCCCGATTGTTTCTTCTGGAACTTGAACCTCTAGGGTGTTGGGCGATATCTCTACAGTCCACAGTATCATGGTTATAAGAATGATGATAGGTGCAGTATACTTGGGGGTTAGTTCTGCCTTGACTCGAACCTCTCCCTCGGCCTCGGCCTAGTCCTCTACAGGGGGCCTGCTGTGTTGACTAGTTTGCTTAAGTGTTGGTGGCTGGCACATTCTCATAAGCCAGTGTTGGTACAGCGTTCAATATAGCTGGGGCAAGCGCGTGGCCTGAGCCTTGGGCAACTTCAACCTTAGGTTGGTTCCATTGTTCGTCCATCAGGTAGGAGGTTGGCCATCTACCACGTTGCCTTTGTTGGGGCTGAAGGCCTCTACTTGCTCTATTCCGATGTTCTATCAGTTCCTCGTTGATGATTTCGAGTCGCATCATCTCCTACAAAGCATCGTAAGTTGGGGGGTCTTTTGCCTTTGTTGGGGCTGAAGGCCTCTACTCGCCCTATTTCTGTGGTCTATTAACTCTTCATTAATGATTTCCCGTCGCATCATCTCTAACAATGCATCACAAGTAGTGGGATCCTGATTTTGTACGTCTCTCCAAAATAACGTATTCATGTTCAGGCCTCCTCTTAGGGCAGACATGGCTTCACGATTGGTGACTTGAACACAACATGTCATTTCATCCGTGAAGCGGGATAAGAAACTCTTCAAAGTTTCTTTAGGTTGTTGCCTCATATCCTGAAGACGCTGAATGGGGGCCTCTCCTTCCTTACTCACAGCGAATCTCTTCAAAAAGGTGGTTTTAAATTCTGGTCAACTCCTAATGCTCCCCGGCGGTAGTCTACTATACCATATTTCAGCTGCTCCGCTTAGGGTTAAATGGAAGGCCCTGTACTTTACAGCTGGGGTAGCGCCTCTCAAGCTCATGTGCGTCTTGTAACTGGTCAAGTGTTTTGCTGGATCGCCTCTCCCATCATATTTCCGTATTTTAGGCGTCACATAATGGCTCGGAACCTCGGCATTCCTTAACTCTCGTGAAAACGGCAGGTTGTCATCATCATCATCTAAGTCACAAGATCTTTGTGGGTCATCCGAATCATAGTTAGCTTTTGCCTCATATCTAGGCGATAACGCAGAAGGTCCTGCCTGGTTACCAGCCTCTTCTTCTCTCCTTTGACGCTCACATCGAGGCGGTACAACTCGGGGAGGCATGTTCTTGCCTTTCCTCCAGTTGCCAAGTCTCAGGAGGTGGGGGATGTGGCCTGTTCTTAGGCGCTGGTGCTTCATTCCATTGCCTATGCCTCGGTTCGGCTGGGCTTAAACTGTCAAACACGCTGACGGACCTCTGAGGCCTTGGCTCTGGTTCATACTCTGGAGGGAAGTTGCCCTCCATGTTAAATGGGGCCTCGGTGGGTCGGCCAGAGGTATAATTTGAGGATATGTCAACTCCCACTTCTCTTTCAATAGGCCTTCCTCCCCTATTATACCTTGGAGGATGAGCTCTTTGACTTTATACTTCTTCCTCGGTTCGGCTGGGCTTAAACTGTCAAACACGCTGCCGAACCTCTGAGGCCTTGGCGCTGGTTCATACTCTGGAGGGAAGTTGCCCTCCATGTTAAATGGGGCCTCGGTGGGTCGGCCAGAGGTATAATTTGAGGATATGTCAACTCCCACTTCTCTTTCAATAGGGCTTCCCCCCTATTATGCCGGCAGGGCGAGCTCTTTGACTTTGTACCTCTTCGAGTTGAGGCGACCTCCATGACCTTGCATCTGCATGAACAACTCTTGCATCGCCAGGTTTTGGTTGGTGATGCTCCTTATATTAGCTACCATAGTCGCCATTTCCCTAGTAAGTTAGGCCGCTAACCTTCTCCCACCTCGTCTATGGTGGTGATGAGGTCGGCGCCGGGACGTCGAGGCCTCATTATCAGTATCCCTTGTGCGTTTGGGAGGGACATCCTCTTCTGAACTCATCTCTTCCCAAGCTTAAAACCTTGAATATTTTTCAACTCTAGAGGCTTCCTCTTACTCTTTTCTCAAGAACAAATCCTCTTTCGAGGGGATGCCCAAAATATCTTCTTAAACAGCTTAATCCAACACCTCAAAAAATGTTGCCAACATATGTCGGGCCCACTCGTGTATGCGTAAACTTAATCCAACAAGTTAATGCCGATCGACAATCAAGATAGCTCTAGAATCTAAACGTGGGAGGAGCTCAACGACACCAGAAGTCACCGTTCGAGCTTCTGGCAAGATAAACGAAACGCGATTGTATAAGAAACCAATCGATAAAGAACAAGATTTGTAGTTGAAATTTGATAATAGATGAGAGAATAATATAGTTTCAAGTAGTTAGAATTGCATTAACCTTTACATGTTACATGGTGGGGGTATTTATAGTGTTACAAACGAAATTGTGACCTTTGGATCAATTTATACGTGGCTTCATCTCCTCGGCCCGACATCAAGTCCTAGTCATTCGGTTGACTCTCCTAACCTTACAAAATATTAAATACTTTTACATTGACAAAACAAGATACAAACATACTTTACACAAGAGTCACATCAATCATTCAAATAAAGATCTTCATCATGAGCGAATCTCCGCACGTGGGTCATCACCGGCTGCTGGAAAGCCTCTGATCCGTGTAGGTTCCCTGGGCTTCAGATAATGGTTTAGGCCTCGGATAATGGGCATCAGTACAGCACTGGGCCTCGGTAAACACGTCAGAGGTTAAGAAAATACATCTTGTTTCAATTAGGCTAGTTCCACTGCCCAAATATGATGCCACGTGACGCTTCTATTTATGAGTCGTAACAGTAATGACGAATCCAGCACATTTGTGTTTTCATGTTTGCGATGTTATAGTTACCTTAGTAAGCCCCACTTTGTTGCAATACTAGTTGACTTTATGGATGAAGTTGTATAGAAGGTTTATTGTCTTTTTGATATTGCCTAGAATCCTTGGAGGTCCAATTTTTCCAAGTTTTATTTATCAAAATATTGAAGGTATTTAAATCAATCTATGGAAACAATATTGGGACATATGAGGCTAACTCCCATTTTCTACCGTCATCTGTCTACCAGATATAGCAAGCAAGGAATAAGAACTTGGTCAAGAGTCCAGACAACCCAGAACAAATGTCCAAACATCCGTTGAAGAATAATGCTATCTAGCATTACTGATATTATAATACCAATTCAAGTGGTGTGTAGTGATAGACTCAATAAAATGTATAATTAAATGAATCATTTAATTATACATTTCAATTAATGTCACATTAATACTACCTAATTTAGATGTTTTAACTTGAATAGTATTAAATAACGTTACCCTTTACTAACCCATTCCCAATGTGAAAAGTGGCATCATAAACTTTATGATTAGCTTTCGGGGGGATGCTGATAATCTAGACTGTAGTGGGTTAATTACATACCAGCTCAGCAATCTATTTATTGCCAAATATACTGTCACGTTTACTATACATTAGTCAAACTAACTACATAAACAGGATAATCATAGATTCATAACCAAATTGTGAAAAAATTAAAATTTGATAATTCTATTGGAGCCAAAATTTATTATGAATTGCGATTAATAAGAACCAATTGGAAATGCTACTAGACAGTCTTGCATGATGGTATATCGACTGTTCTTCAAAGATTGGAAAGGAAAAAAAAAAGCAGCTTGTTTTAGCTTTTAAGCAAAGCCAAACATGCTCTTGGTACTTCAAAGCTCACGTTTCATTTAGTTGCTCCTTAGTTGGTTTTATATGCAACAGCGCATATTAAGCAATATTAAGAAAGAAATACAAGTTGAAATCAAGTGTAATGTTTAGTCATGTCCAGCACTAACACACCCTTAAAGCTTTAGAAACTATCCATGTTTCTGTATAAAAGGCGGGATTTGATAATTTCTTCATGATCTGATCCAAACACAAGTTCACATACTCGTCCCCCTTTCCCAAACAAAGGGATACAGAAAATAGTTCCTTCATAGATTAGCTAGCATGTGTTTTACATAATGCATTTCATATGGTGAATTTGGAAGAAGGAACCGTGTCGAAATCGTCAAAGTCAAATCTCTGTCGCTCTTTTCCAGCCTGGACATATATAGACCAAAAAGGAATTTAGTTACCAATACAATTTGAGAAAACCAACAAGTTCGGCAGGAGCGTTCAGAGACTCACCTTTGCTAAGTACAACGGGTCACATGAAAGTTGTTCATCCATATGTGTTAGCTTTCTAGACAGCATCATTATCCTGAAACAAAATTCAAGAGGAGCATCACAACTATCTACTTAAATAACTTCTTTATTGCAACTCCACATCTTTTAAGTAGTATATATATTACTTATTTAAAAAGCAACTCTTACTCAAAATAACTAACTTATTTCCAATTTTAATCAATATAAAGACTAGATTTTAAGGGCCTGTTTGTTTTTTATTCTCAAATTCAACAGTAAATCAATTCTCATTTTCAACCACACATTCTTCAATAAAATAATAATTTCTATCACATCAATAATTTTTTCTTCTTTTTCAACCACATTTCTCATCATGTCACTATTCAAAAATCAATTCTTCCCCCAAAAATCCCTATCAAACAAGCACTAAATTTTGCTTATTTACTAATAAGTAAACTATTTAAGCTTAGTCAAACATGCTCGATTGTATTGCAATGATGTCTACAAGTCAAGCCCTGCAAACTATTAATCCAAAGAAAAACAAAAGAACGGAACTAGGTAATTAGGTTGCTTCCCAAAAAATTAAGTGTTAAGAATATTACTCCCAAAATTCAGAAGATACACATGGACACACGAGATCTAAAATATAGCAAGCGCGAAAGGGAATGTGCACACTCCCTCAAAATTATTGCCAAAATGAATATCATTTGCAAATTTTTCATATAATCCTTCAAATTTTATAAGTTTGTCTTGAAACTATCTTACAGGATTTTCACAACAATCTTCCAAAAGCCAGCCAGCCAATTGGCAAAGGTTTTCGTTGAAATTTTGTTCCCTTGGCAAGAGAATCGAACAATTCAAAATTCTGAAACACGTACCTCTGGATTGACGAGTCAATTCGTTCAATCATCTCACATGTTTTATATTGTTCAGGATCCTCTAGGAATCTAACCATTCCATCCTTCTGGTTGATTGTTGCATATATTTCACCATCTTGGATCTGTAACAAGATAGAAACATGTATGTCACAGAAGACCACCTCAGGTCAATTCATTTTTCCACTATAAAAATTGGAACACTGCACCTACCATTTGAAGTACATGCATCTCAGCTTCCTTTGCGCTATTAAGTTGGACAGTATTGGCTATATCTTGAAGGGAGAGTGTTAGGTAAGTCTGAGTCAACCTCTGAATATTGCGTTTATACATAGACGATACTACTTGCTTCACCAATCCAAGATTCTGGTCCTGAAACAGCGGATAACATTTAGCCCTTTCAGATGGCAAAATATTTGACATGGAACTTGGTGGACGTTGATGTGAAAGTAAAAACTTCATCGCAGCGCTGCTACTATATCTATTGACTTAAATTACATGAAGATATTGCAAAGTATTATGAAAAACTTACAAATTCAAACTTCTCATTGTTTGCCTGCACACTCGTCTCAAGCTCTGATATTTTTCCAGTACCATAACTATTCACCAATTCAAGATACGGCTGCTCAAGAGACAAGAAATAAATATATTAATGACTCAAAAGAAAGTGAGGGAAAATGCATATAATGCAAACTTAAATGTACTCCAGGCACCCCAAAAAAATACAAATTTATGAACAGTAGTTTGAGTGACGTGTTTCTGTTCATGGATGATTACTTCCTAACTAATCAAGTATGTGGGCTTTGTGCCACACCAGTAGCTAACTGCTTCTTAGTTCTCATCAATATTGTATTGAGATTGGAGATAGTGATTAACTTTAGTCTTCGGGCCCCTTTTTGTATCAAAGGTTCATAAGTAGTATCATTATATTGATGTTCGCTGCAGTTCTGCAATGTTCGTGGTATTTGATTTCTCAAAGATGATATTCTCCTGTTTAACTATAAAATGTACTATATAGTCTAAATTAATCCATAAGAAAAAGATTTCATGCATCTATGTATGTGCGCCCCAGTTTTTACTATGTAACTCAGTAAAACATGTCCACGTGTCCCAAGTCTACTCACCTTTATCATATTTCAATTTAAAACAGAGTTCTAAGTTCTTAAATATTTGTTCTATGGCTTCTGCATCCAGCATCATCTACAGCCATTAAAAAACATAGTAGTTTCCAGGCTCCAGCTTTCTTCCTTATCCAAAATTTAGATTTCATGCTTTCCATCGAGAGGGGCCACAATATTGTGTTTAATAGAGGCTCAAACAATGACAGTAGAAGTCAAGGTATGACCTTGCTTTCAAACAACGGATCTGATAATTTATTTCACTTATCTTACTAACCTTGAAAAGAAATTAACTTCTCACCAGTTAACAACCGTAGTCTTGTAATTTAAAGAATGTGATAACAGATGTGCCTCCCAACCATTAGTTGTCTTGATTAATCTCATAAACAAGTGAACACCCTGCATCATAAATATCACAGGAAATTCTGCAAAAGGCAGATATATCTAAACACCAAGTTATTGGTATCCTGATTAATCATAAGCAAGTGAACCTCATGCAGCATAAATGTCACAGGAAATTTTGCAAAAGGCAGATATATCTTGACACCAAGTTATTGGGCAATTAATTGACGCTGTCGTTTGTTCATAGTTTCTAATGAAAAATATATCAACTTTTGTAGCACAGATACACATCAAAATGAGTTCCTGCACAAGTAAAAAATACTGCAAAGCTTTCGACAGTTACCACACAGTACCTGAGAGAAGTTTTTCAGATTTCTTTGAGCCACAGAAGAAGTGTACTTCGGAAAACTGATAGAGAACTGCCGAGAAAAGTAAATTAGATTCTCGTTATTCTCAAGTACATAGATATGACAGGAATAAACCTGTCAAGTTTATCACTGAAGATAATAAGTTAAAACTTAAAAGTGGAAGTCTGCGAAACAGTTAGAGGATTATTATGACAAAACCAAGTGTCTTGTACCAGTGAACATCTGGTAGATATATCCTTCAGGCCATATAAGATAATAACTTTAATCGTGTAACTTACTAATACAGCGTAATAAAATAAAATAAAAAAATTGCCTCCTCAAAGACATCAAAATATCAAAACCAGCAATTCATATTGATTGGTCCAGTTTTTGGGAAATGTTAATTGCATCAAGATGCATTTAAACCATTATTTGGTAAACGAGAGCAAAAGAGAAAACCTGTCCAAGATGAATGAGCGAAACCAGTATGTATTTTTTGTATGCTTCAACGGCTATAGCATTCAAAATGGACATAGGTGCAGTCACAACCTGAAAGTATTAGCAGTGAGATAGATCAAAGGATTTAAAACTGGATAGTAAAAGCACATCCATCAGCAGTAAGATAGGTAAATCAACAGAGTTATTTAGCATTAATTACAAGAAAAAAAAAATTTACATACATTGTGCAGCAACTCCAGCGCTTTGCTAAACTTCTTATGTCCTATGCAAATCATGCCCCTAGATGATGCCAAACATTAAAATGAGTCAGTAAGCTCCATTATTATTCAGGCCAGCAAGCTTAAGGCAGGATGTCATACTTTCCAGGTCTCTACAATTGAGCATATACTTCTGTGTTATTCAAGACAAAAACAAAATTAAATAAGCATTACGCTATTTCAAATCCAGAAAATAATGGATAAGGTTAACATGTGAAAGCTTTTTGTCGCATTGTTGTTGGATTTAAAGACGGGAATTTTGATTTCAAAATGAGCAACATGATTTAAACACAAAATATTAGGTAATGCACACACTGCATAGCATGCGGGTCAATCTGTCATCATTAACAGAAGTTCAGAGACATGAAAGATACTGATTATGACATAAACGGCGATGCCAGATTCCATTCTTCAACAAACTAGTCTATATGCCTATTGCAGCAAGATATGCCAACACCAGAATAACACTTTGAGCCAGCACTTGTCAGCATACTGTTGGAGCCAATGGAATTTAAAAGTAAAAATAAAAAAAAATTGACCAAATATCTCTAATTACAATAAGTTGTCAAACATATTACTAAATCTTTTAAGAAACTACATGAAGTGAACAATAAAATAAGAACAAGGAAGTATTTTATTCTGAATTGAAAAGGAAGTATTTGAAGGGTATTAAAAACTCGTAAATACTCCCCCAAGAAGAAAAAACTTACCCATAATAACAGTAGAGAAAAAAATCCCGAGGTTGATCAATCTCAAATATGTCATCCTCCAAAATGGAAAGACCAGTTTTATAGCACTTTGCCAACAAACAAAGAAGAAGAAAATCTTGGTGCAAAGTTGTTAGGTGTTCAGTGGACAATTGCAGCTTCCGAATAGCTGTCAGCATTGGAGCCACACCTCGCATGGGATCTTCAAGCAGCATAACTTGGTCCTTAAACCTTTTACAAACAGATGTAACTGCAAATCAATCACCATCAAATTGTGAAAACAGTAGATAAGAGCCATATAAATCAAATACAGCATTTTACAGAGAATGTTCGTACATTTATCAGGCGCCAGACGTATTTGCTCAGCAGCACACAAATTGATAAACCTGGCTACAGAAAGCACTAGCTCACTGGCTTGCTCTTTTGAAATTGGAGCAGATGTGCATGCCTCCCTGTTAAAGACATATAGGTGAGTACTAGTGTTCCAAGTGTAACAGAGAACAAAATTTCATGTCATGCACAAATAAGTAGTTCAACCTGACCCCACCGCTATTCTCCGTCCGAAAATATACATTAAGCTCCTATTTGTCTATCATTCTCCAAAAACTCTTTTTTTCTAAATCTCATTTTTCAACCACATATTTTCACAATAAAATATTTTACACGTAAATCCAAAACTTTTCCCTACTTTTAATCACACATTCTCCAAAAAAAGTCACTATTTTTAAAACTCATTTTTCCCACAAAAATAAAATAAAATAACCTCTTTTAAATGGGCATCAAACAGGATCTAAAAAGAAAATACAAGAGCTAGGAATATAGCTTCACATCAAATCATTCAACTAGTATAAGACTCAAATATCATAGAGTTCGCGCAGAAAAGTATTGAAAATGAAATCCGCAAAATGGCATGCTATAACAAGTCTGTCAATTAAGGGATCGGTCCCTGCCATACTACAGTTCTAGATTTTCTTCTGACAGAAGGAATGGTGGGGATGGAAGAGACAAACTGATATAAGTTTCCCTAATTTATTGTCAACACTTAATTACTCTTAGCCTTCTATTGATAAAATTTTCTATTCGGCTGTTAAGATAAATGTACTAGTATTATTTAGCAAAAAAATCATAAATAAGAGAAGTGAATTAGTCAGTTCACCGGGACGATCACCCTCCCAATTCGAAGTTTTTTCCTCAACCTTGTTTGACTATGACAAGAGTCGTAAATATAAAGAGATCGTGACTATGGAGGCATGCTCTCCCATGACCCCTACTCTAATCAAAAAACAAAAGGCCCCTACTGAAGATAGGTCGCCAACCTACGACGAGAGTTTCGCCTTATGCAGGGCCAGTCGCGTAGGGCGACCGGGCCAGGCCGAGTCAGCAAGGCTTTGTGACGAAGAGTTTCACATGTTTGGATAAAAATCCTTTATGTCATCATCCCATTCTGATGACACAGAAATAGCTGGATGGTGCAACAATCAGTCCGGCATACAACAATGTACTGAACTACTTCAACAAGCCTGAAGCCTACGCGTGAGATATACATCGCATGTTTTATACCAATATCCACTACCCCTTTATAGGCTCCGTAGTAAGAAATGATATATTTTGTTAAAGAGGGGTGATCTCCCTACTCCCAATCGGATGTGGAAATTCTTGCTCTCATTCTTGCCAGAGGACTAGTGGGCACGTTTATCCTTCTTTCTGAAGTTTCAATGGAAAGATTCCTCTACTAATGCAGTCTACTCCTTTTTTTAAAACAACTTCCATTGAGTTTCTGCAAAAGGATTTGGTTCAAGATTGCCCATTTTTATTAATTTCAGGGCTCTGAATTTGAAGTTACCACTTAGTAGGTTTCCACACCGAGGCTCAATCCAATTAAAGACAAAAAATACAACATATTAAAAATAAACATTTTAATGTGACAAAATTTGACAACATAAACCTCAGGCATGGAAACACAGTGCCTATTAAAACATCAGAATACAAACTAACATGCTCCATTCACAATCGTTTGTATAAAAAACCATAGCACTCCATATACAGTGAGCAGTTGAATCATCCCCATAAGAACGGTACCGTGTGCTTTAACATAAATAAGTTCAAATAAACTACCAAAATCGAATAACAAGAATTTTCCATTGCACACAAATCCCTAAAGTGAAAATATAAAACATTATTGACATCAGGAAAATAATGCCAGAGACTAAAATCGGAATATACAGAATGTAAAGATAACCGAGGGAGTGTATCGACGGGTCGAGTTCAGTGAGTAGAGAAGCGAGGCGGGTCGACTCGGATTGGAAAAAATCCTCGGACTGTTTCAAGAGGCTGTGGAGTTGATTAACATCCGATATACTGCCCGATAATCCTTGGATTTGAGCAACCAGCGTTTCCACTGAGTTCATATTCAGATTCATCTCGGATTTTTTCACCTTTTCCTTTTTCTTTGGGGTTTTTGCACGTAATCGATTTCTAAATGAAACGGTGAGAGGAGAGAGAAAGTTATTGTAAATTGATAGCTTGTTTGGTAGAGTTTAAAATAAGATTAAAATTGAAAAATTAGTCGTTATTGTTGATTTTTATTAGATGAGTTGGATTCAATAACGACTATATTTTTAATTTTAATTGGATTAAAATCTCTCACAAACAAGCTCTGAGTTATGCTATACTATTACAGTTTTGTTGACATTTGATAACTAGCGACTTTTTTTATATATTAAAAGTGGCTATGTAACAGAATTTATTGTTTTTAACGTAAAAACTAACGGAATTTATTGTTTTAACGGATTATGTAACGGAATTTCTTGTTTTAAACAGGCAGTTGCACCTTCTTTTAGTATTTTTATCATAACTTTGTATTCCGATATCCGATTGAGGCGATTGAAAATGCGTTGGAAAGCTAACTCATCTGACTACATCTTTGATTCAGACATCATTCTCCAATTCGATCACTTTCTATACCAAAAATAGGTCTCAACATGAGACTAAAACATCTGAGCATAATTTTTCAGTTGGAAATTGATTTGTGATCATCTTTTAACTAAATTTGATTCCAT